TTTTTTTGTAGAGACAGTGTCTCACTAGGTTGCCCAGGTTAGTCTCAAACTCCTGGCCTCAAGCTTTCCTCCTGCCTTGGCCTCCCAAAGTGCTAGGATTATAGGCATGAGCCACCATGCCTGGCCTTTCTATTTTTTTTCTTTTAGACAGAGTCTTGCTCTGTTGCCCAGGCTGGAGTGCAGTGGCCTGTTCATAGCTCAGCGTAACCTCAAATTCCTGGGCTCAAGAGATTACCTGGCTAGGATGAGAGAGACTAGAACAAAAAAGAAGAAACGAAGGGGAAAAAATAAAAGATATAAGAAAAAAATTGAGAAAAGACATTACCCAGCTAACTTTTAAATTTTTTTTATAGAGACAAGGTCTCACTATGTTGCTCAGACTAAGAGTCCTCAACTCTTACCTTAAAAGCTATAAATTTCAGATTATTTAAACATAAAATTAAACTATTATAAATAGTTTTAAAATGTATACTAAATGTTTATATTAGGAATACCCTTAAAGTGTGGAAGGAGTTTCTAAGCATGATAAAAAGCACAGAGTAAAAATTCATTATGAAAAAGTCAAATTGATTAACTTACATAAAAATATTAACATTTATGATACCGAAAAACACTATCAGCAAAAGTAAAAGTATGCCAGGTGTGGTGGCTCACGCCTGTAATCCTAGCACTCTGGGAGGCCAAAGTGGGACAACTGCTTGAGGCCAGGAGTTCGAGACCAGCCAGAGCAAGAGCTAGACCCTGTCTCTACAAAAAATAGAAAAATTAGCCGGGCATGGTGGCTTCTGCCTGTAGTCCCAGCTATTAGGGGGACTGAGGATCACTTGAGCCCAGGAGTTTGAGGTTGCAGTGAGCTATGATACCACCACTGCACTCTAGCCTGGGTAACAGAGAACATATCTCAAAAAGACAAAAAAAAAAAAGTAAGAGCAAATGAAAACTGAGATAAAAATAAATAGCTGTTGCAGATCAGTAAGAAAAAGAAAGCATTAGTAGAAATATAGGCAAAGGACATGAGAAAGCATTCCACAAAAGAAACACAAGTTTTGACAAAAGTATAAAAAGACATTTAACTTAACAAATAAAAGAATTATAAATTTTAATCATAAAATGCCATTTTTGACATATCACATAGGCACATATTTACAGGACCAACAATTTTAAATGTTGTCAAAAGGACACGGAACAAGCATTCTAATGTTGGTAGGAAAATAATCAGGACAATTTTTTGGAAGGGAGTTCAGAAATACTATATGCAATTGAAGGTGAGGTGTATACTTTTTCATGTTTTAACACCTGTGAAATAAGTATTCGTCTTACAACTGATGACATCTCCCCACTGTTGTCAGCCAAGTACCAGCCCTGATGCAGTTGTCACTGCCTCTGAATTCACAAACTGGTTGTTATTCCTGGTGGCATGACTGAACAATTGCAATCCCTTGGTGTTTTAGACAATAAAAGATCATTTGAGGAAGGATATTAAGTACTGCTTATGGTCTGAAACTTTCCTTTGACAACTTCTAGTAATGTTAAGAAAATACCAGATTCCTGTCAAACATACAGATTTTGAATCTACTCATGATATATGAGACAAACTCAAATTGAAGGATATTCTATAAAATAACTGTGCTATACTTTCCAAAAATATCAAGGTCAAGAAACAAAGAAAAGCTGAGGAACTGTTCCAGATTAAAGAGATTTGATCACTAAAAGTAATGAGTGATCCTGAGTTGGGTCCTGGATTGGGGGTGGGGGGCTGGCAAGCTATTAATATAAGAACATTATGGGGATAATTGAAGAAATTTGAATATGGGCGCTTGATGAGCTAATAGGCTTCTATCAATGTTTAATTTCCCTAGTTTGACAACTATGTTGTCACTGTATAGGAGAATATTATTGTTCTTAGGACATACAAACTGAAATATTTAGGGGTAAAGAGGCAAAATGTCTACTTTCCTCTCAAATGGTTCAAGGAAAGGGGGAGGCAGGGATGAATAAATAGATAGACAAATAGAAAGAAGAAGAATGACAAAAGCAAGTGGGGCAAAATGTAAACAACTTCTGAAACTGGGTAAAGAATATATGAGAGGCTGAGGGTGGTAGCTCACACCTGTAATCGTAGCACTCTGGGAGGCC